GTAACGATTGATGAAAAGTTAGAAGCATTTCGTGGACGATGCAGTTTCCTGCAGTAAATTCGAAGCAAACCGGCAAAGTATGGCCTGAAACTATTTGCTTTGGTTGTTGCCAAGTCCGTTTATACTTCTAAATTGGAAATTTACATTGGCGCACAACCTGAAGGCCCATGCAAGTTTCAAACACACTTTCTGAAGTTGTTACAAGGATAATTGCACCTATATCTGGAACGGGCCGCAGTGTGACTTAGATAATTTGTTCACAAGTTACCCATTGGCTAAATCCTTGTTAGAAGATCATAAGGTAATTATGGTGAGAACAATCAAAAAATAAAAGAGAACTGCCACCTGAGTTCCTCAATACCAAGCGAAGAAGCCCAATGACTACCATTTTTGGTTTTCAACCCAATATCGCCATAGCTTCATTTGTGCCATAAATGTCATGATTTCCGCATTACATTATGATGTTAATGTAGATGAGAGAACATCTAAGCCGGAAATCATTCTGTTTTACAACCAAACCAAAGATGGGGTTGATGTAGTCGACAGAATGTCTGGGGTCTGTGGGACCCCACCTTACCACTTTTGTTACATATTCCCACCTCACCAGCGCCAGGTTAAATAACCATTACCAGTTTAAAGTGCCCAATTAAAGCAGGCTGCAAACCATTCAGTGTTGGGGATTTAAATCCCATAATCTGATGTGATGAAGGTTAAAGCAGTTAAAATGTTTTACTGACATAAACACAGCCACTTCTAGAGGAGTAAAATGCTTTCACTTTAAAGCCTATAAATATAAAAGTGCAAGATGCCATCTTAAACAAGTGGCTCATATAGTATTTTTCTCACCTCCTAAGAAACATATTCCTCGTTTATTTTAGGTACGTACGAGTAGTTCAGTTTTGACGTTCTTATGGTAAAACATAGGAGCTGGGATATCATAGTCGGTATAGCGACTGGCTACAGGCTGGACAACCAAGGTGTTGGAGTTTGAGTCCTGGTAGAGTCAAGAATATTCTTGTCTTCACATTGTCCAGACCAGTTCTAGGGTCCACCTGACCTCCTATCCAATGGGTACCGGGGGTAAAGCGGCCAGGGTGTGATGCTGACCACTCACCTCCAGCTAGTGCCAAGGTCAAAACAATTTGGATCTATACAACAGTGTTATTTAGAGTCAGTGAGCAGAGGAATATCCTACATGAAATAAGAAAATGGAAGGCTAATTGGATTGGTCATATCTTACGCGGTAACTGCCTTCTAAAAGAAGTTATTGAAGGAAAGATAGAGGGGCGGATAGAAGTGACCAGAAGATGTAAGAAGATGCTAGATGACCTTGGGGACAGAAGAGGATATTTTCATTTGAAGGAGAAAGCTCTAGATCGCATCAAGTGGAGGAACTGTTTTGGACGAGACTGTGGACCTGTCATCTTGGCAGATTACAGATGAATGAATGAATGAACCACTCCTCCATACACCTTTATGGCGTAGTGCTTAATTAGTTAAGCACAGGGATAGCTTTACCTTTACCTCTTTAAGTTAACACATAATCTAAAATGCTATCCAAGTGTCAATAAGTAAATCATTGTGATTTAATCGAGGAAATATGATTCCACCTTTAATAAGGAAATGAGATATGATGTGGTTTGAAATTTAAGCTAATTTAATCATGATACTGCTTATCAGGTTTAGTGTAGGCAGAGCATGTGGTGGGCATAAGGAACTGTAGACTTCCAGCAGATGCTTGTCACCATGGATTCTGTTCTCTTTGAAAGTTGTGGCTTGAAATAACTTACAATACAGCAGAATTATGAATGTTTCTATTTTCATTGAGGACGTGACTTGACACATGATTATTTGAATCTCTAGAATAACAAGATCTAATATTTTGGATTTGTACTGCATTCAAATGCACCTTTAATAGTTATCATATTAATAATCTGATTTAAGTGCATCATAATATATAAAGCAAATATTTCTAATTCTCGTTTTTTTATATTATTTTATTTTATTGCTGTTGATCTGACTAATATGAATTGTAATTTAATGTATTTGGAGTTTTGAAATCCTGATCAGGATTTAAACATGACATAATTCCTGCTGATGAGTAAATTCATCTGGTGCTGGCATGGTGATGGTTAGTCTGTGACAAGTTATTGCTCCTCTTTTTCCAATAACCTGGTGCCCAGGACTGTGATCAGAATTGCTCCCACAGGAGCTGTAATGAGGATTGATAAAACGGCAATGATCAAAACAGTGGTAGCATAAGCCTCATACTCTTCTAAATGCATCTTCCTGACTTCGTCTAGGGCTACTGGCCCGATGGCTGCCTGGAAGACAAAAGAATGATGATGTAGTTATTAGTATAAATAAATTTCATGCCTATATCATACATCTACATATAATTTATTTGTCACTGTGTGTGTTGTACATTGTCCTTCTGAATGGTGAATTTGGCCAAATTGTGAGAGTAGGTTCAACATAGAAACCAATGAGGATTTCCTTTGTAAAACTGGGAATGGATATTGATACCATCACTGCTACAAAATGAGCTGAACTTCATTCACTTGGTTGCTTGTTTGAATTTTGTCTGGTGAAATGCTAACCTGCGTGCTGTGTTTTGTAGTTACCCTGTGCTTCCTCCCACTGTGAATGCCAGGATAGTATCTTTAAAGTTTTATCATGTGTGTGTAGCATAACTGTGCCAGTGCGTATTGTAACGTGTTTGGAATAGATACTTCCGTGCTAATGCAATAACAGTGGGCCGTTGTGTAGGAATTGCAGAATCAATAGACATGTTTCCCCAGAGATGGAAGGTTCGCTGCATAGCAACAGCTGCGGTTATAAAAGGCAAGCTTCAACAAGAGACAGTCTTGAGATAGTCGCCGTTGAAGAGAGTTGAATTCCATCAATCGTTGGAAGACAGTGAAGTTCCAGCCTTCGAAGAGAGAGTTGGAAGATAGCCGCCACAGAATGCAGTTGAAGATTGTGATACTGGTGACATTATAAGGGGATACTAATTGTACTTGAGTGTGTAGAAGTGAGTGTTCAATAAATATTCGCTAAATCCGAGACCCATGTGAAGTTATTTGTCGCACTGCATAGGCAACACGCGACAATATGTTGGTTTATGCATACCACAGCAGGCCTAGCATTGCATTTTTAATGTAAATTTTATTACTTCCAAGTTTTAAGTTGGCCACCAGCACTTTATTAGTGGGAAATATAAATCCAGCCTGTACAGATTAAATAGGCCACAAATCATACTTCCCACATCATTGTAATTATTTGTTCATAATCATCCTACCAGGTCCCATTGTATGGTACATAATTTCAGCAGGTTATACACCATTGTCAAGTTACTGAAACCTAGCCAGTTGACAAACCCTTAATGATTGAAGCTTTCATAGCGGCTCTATGCCACAAAGCCTTCTTGGGCAATAAGCCATGCAAAAATGGAGTTGGTAACCGGTGTTTCAGAGACTGCCATTTCCTTCATAAGATGAGTGGCAGGGTTACTAATTATTGTTAAATACTTGGTTGATTTTGGAGCCAAGCTTGACAGATTGGACCACACATTTCTGTTGCAGTCAGATCGCTGTAGACCCCTTTACAAAGTGGTCCATGTAGCCTGCCATTGTAACCAATACTGTGGTGTTCTTGATGCTGTGTCCAGTGACCGCTGATGTGTCTGGTTGTACCATTCATATTCTGTACATCTTGTTGCAGTGGTGTGTCATTCTTGCTAAACGTACATCTTGCCTCACTCATGTCAGATAATGAATCAGACTGTAGTGCCGAATGGTTGGATGGTAGTGAACAGTGAACTGTAATGATGTGGAAGAAATCACAAAAGCAAAATTTTACAGTTTCATAACCCATCACAGAACTTCAGTTCTTCCCAACATAGAAGACATGTTAGCTTTCATATGAGCAGTTTATATCTCCATAGGTGCTTCCTTCTGTGGAATACACACATACATGTCTAAAGTCTAGATTTGAGAGTCATTCCACATCTGATACACAGCAGCAACAGTAATACTATGTCCTTATACTTGCACTTTGGAAACCCTGGCCTAACCATCAGTTCTGTCTTGCTCTACTCTTGAGCACGTTGAAGTTGAGAATGCATAGAAAATTTTATTTGGGAAATCTGAAGGGAGACTTGGAAGACCAGGACATTGACTGGAGAATAATATTAAAATTGATCTGAAAGTAGTAGGGTATGAACAGGTGAACTGGATTCAGCTAGCCCAGGATAATGTCCAGTGGTCTTTTTTGACTTTTGAGTTCCATGAAAGGCAGGGAATTTGTTGACTCTGCACAACTGCCATCTTCTCAAGAAGACTCTGCTTCCATTTCTGGCACTGTTTTTGCAGGGAGATTATTTGTGGGTTGAGATGAAGCATGGGCTTTCTGTTGTGCGTGAACACTGCATTGATTGCTGTATTTCCAGCTCAGTCAACTAGAGTCACTGTGGAAGTGCAACAAAGTTTATGTACATACATTAGAAGACCTGCTGAAAACGTTCCCATCTGCTTGGGCACATTCTCCATGTCTTCTAAACAGATTTCTGTCTCACAATGTACTTGTTCCCTGGGCATATACTGAACTTCAGTCTGTGTGTTTTAACAGAGTTCTATGCATGGATTGGTTTGATAGACGTAACTTTTGAATGTACTGCCAGCAAAAATCATCCACATTAATGTTGCTAGATGAGATGGCCATAAGCTAAGTCTTATCATCACCTGTCAGTTGTCTGAGAAGTAGCTGCATTGTCTGTCTAACATGCCCACTGGAATTGCTTCTGCATGAAACATATGGCTGCTTATTTTCCTTGTACTTTGAGCATACCAAACACCAACTTTTTTGATCATGAGTGGAATTTCGTTTATAAAATGTGGAGTTTCTACATTCTGGTGTTTTTATTTTTTGTTTTCACATGTCCATTCAAATAAAACCAGGCTTTGTCTGGAAAATATGTCAACTCGGGTTCAAGTTCGCCATTTTGAACTGAAAGATATGAATTACAAAAATGAACTCTGACTACTGGATCACATGGCTACAAGGAGTGCACGTATGTTTTTTTTAAGGTTATAGTATTATTAACTTTGTAGTGGGCCCTGTGATCCATTTTGATACTCCTGTTTTTGTGGAGGGTGCTGAAGAGAATTTTGAGATGAATGTTTATACTGATCTCTCATTTTGACCACCTCTTCTTCCATTAACAGTTGACACTTCCATTTTGTTTTTCTGTCTGTTAACATGCAAATTGATCTTACTCTATTTACAAGGTTCCGAATAATATTGCTGTGAGGTACTTGAAATCCATGAAACAATTGCTGAGTCATCAGTACAGCTGGAAAGTGATGCAGTGGTTTTACCTACCAGAAAAGCCGTATATCACCTTAGTCTGCAAGTAATCTCACAGCATATATACTGTATTTATGACTTGAAGAAACTTGTCCATGGTTTATGCTAACCGTCTTACAGTGTATACACTTTTCCACCTTATTCTTCACTTCCACACTACATGTTTCAGCACTAATGTGCCATCCTCAGGTGTTAAACTATTGTACTGCATGCCATGATGTCTTCATTCTAAAATTACTAATATGACGAATACAGATTTTAGTCATTTTAGAATGAAGACATTGTGGCATGCAGTACAGTAGTTTAACGTGCATAAAGACACCTGAGGATGGCATATTAGTGCTGAAACATGTAGTATGGAAGTGAAGAATAAGGTGGAAAAGTGTATACACTGTACGTAAGTGACGGTTAGCATAAACCATGGACATGAATCAGTGTACCAGGATGCTAAAATATAACATTTGAAGAAACTTACTTGAACTGTTGCCTTTGGGAACCAAGCAAAGGAAACAAAGAATTTCTCCTTCCAATTGAGGTTTCCTCCGGCAGCCACCACAATAGAAGCTGCAATTCTCACCTTAAAGAGAAAAATAAGGGACAGTCATTTTCAGTATGATCAAAACTTGTGTTCAGCTGCATTTAAATTTGAAGGAAACCATTTTTACTCTTTTGCTTCATACTTACAAACTACTGTAAATGAATTATCATGGATTTTAGTATTGTCTGAAACATATTTCAGGAGACAGATAACAGGATACTCCCTTTGACCATAAATAGAAATAAGACAATGTCAGAATTAGAAATCTAAACAACAGGTTTTATGCAACAGAAATGAAATTTGGAAAAATGCCATATACAATGGGAAGAACACATTTATGGACTGAAATCTGATAGGATTGCAAAAGAAATAAAAATGAAGAAAATAACCCAGAGGTAGGAGATGCTTAGAAAGGTGTCCAAAAATTGAAATGTCTGTATTTTGCAATACCTACAAGAGATCTAACACTGAGAAGTATTGTAATATTTGATAGACTGGAAAATATTCTGGACAAAATTTATAGAACTTGACGAGACAAGAGTGCTGTGTTTTATGTTCTAAGGCATAAGTTTGTGTAGTCGAAATACTATGGAATATGCCTGATTTCTGTTTTAATGTCAAGAATAAGCCAAATGTTTATATTTTTGCTTAAAGTGTGAGGCCAAAGATAAGGAAAAGGACAGGTTGCAATTTGAAAATGTTTCTATGTAAACCTCATTAATAGTAAAATTAAACTTATATGCCAGGAAGAAATGTAGGATATGTACATCACTTACACAACATAAATAAGCTTAATAGCAGAGTGTTACCAAGTTGTGACACAATGAGTCAAGAGCAGTCTAGTAGACTAGCCCCTTGCAGTAGTTGAAACAGAACCCCCATATAACTTGTGATTATAACTAAATTTTTAATGAGCTTGGAAATTTTCTCCCATCATGGACCATCATTTATATGTATGAAGGGCATTCCGTATATAATGCCTCCTATTTTTTTGTGTTAATATGTAATATCTGAGCTGGATGTTGGTGGTGGTGTAGTAAAGGTTGAACCTTCCCGCCAATGTACCATTAGTTTGGTTGTCTTGCGACAGATAGTGACAGCAGAGCAGTCTACCAAAATGGTGTCTGTCATAGAAGTGTGTACGAAACGGAGATGTGTTATTGAATTTCTCACTGCCAAACAAATTGCACCCATTGACATCCATCGATGCTTGCTAAAGGTGTACGGAAACGATACAGTGGATGTCAGCACAGTGAGGCGGTGGGTAGTGCATTTCAACAGTGGCAAAAGTGAAGTGTATGACAAGCCACGCCCTGGGCGTCCCTGCTCAGCTGCCACTCCTCACAATGAACAGTGCCTCAATCAGATCATTCATACAGATCGGCAGATAACGACCAGGGAACTGTGTGCATGGCTTAATATCGGCTGTAATGCATTGGAAACAATGTTGGGGAAGCTGGATTATCGCAAAGCTTGTTCTGGGTGGGTCCCACGGATGCTTACACAGGACCACAAAACTCATCGAATGGAAGTCTGTCAGGACCTGTTGCACCAGTTTGAGGCTGGAGGTGACAAGTTTCTGGAAAGCATCATCACCAGAGATGAGACGTGGTGTCACCACTATGAGCCAGAATCCAAAAGACAGTTCATGGAGTGGCAACATCCAGATTCCTCAAGAAAAAAGAAGTTCAAGACACAGCCATCGGCAGGGAAAGTGATGTGCACGGTCTTTTGGGATAGGTGGGGTGTGATTGTTAGATTTCCTGGAGCCGGGTGAGACTGTCAACTCTGAATGCTACAAGATGACACTAACTAAGCTGAAAGCCCGCATTTCCCGAGTCAGGCCAGAGAAGCAGACAACCTTTCGCTTGCAACAGGATAACACTAGACCCCATACCAGTTTGGCGACCACCGCGCACATTGCAAAGTTTGGCTGGACTGTCCTACCACATCCACCTTATAGCCCCGATTTAGCACCTTCAGACTTTCATCTCTTTGGGCCTATGAAAGACGGACTACGTGGGCAACATTTTCCAGACAACGATGCTGTCATTGCAGCTGTAAGAAAGTGGCTAGTCTCTGCTGGGGCAGACTTTTACAGGCACAGCATACAGGCTCTTGTTCATCGCTAGCAAAAGTGCATAACGAATGGTGGTGATTATATGGAAAAATTTCTGTAAGTAGCTGAAATCTTACTCTATTTAACTGTGTTATTATGCTTTCTGTATCTCTTGTAGTTTTCATTAAAAAAATAGACATTATATATGGAACACTCCTCGTGTAATTGAATACTGTTTATAATTAACTGTATATGCTGTTTCCATGAAAACGTAGATTTCGTGCACTATCATGGGTTGAGCTTTGTGTTCAAAACTGTGTTTTCTGAAGCCTAAAGATGTAATTGAATGATATAACAGAGATCTCAGTTGGGGATGAAGGAGGAGAGGTAAGGAAGGGATGAAAGGAAGTAAGAAAAGGGTGGGTGATGAAGATAGAAAAGAAATTATTAATTATTCCCCAGTGGATATTAACAGGGCTTATCTACTGACATTGATATAGTAGACAAAGAAAATTATATGTGATAACGGGTCATCCAAAATTCTATACCTACAGTTCAGCACCTTATGACTGTATGCCATTTCAACATGCAAGTGTGGAAAACAAGTACATGTATGCACAAAATACTGCAGTCCTACTGCCCAATATTCAGCAACCATATAACATCACTCAGCTTGTATTTACTTTACCAGTATGTTGGCTGAAATAGTCTTAACTCTAGATGTGTCAGCGTTAATTCCTACATTGCCAGTCAAAGCATTGCAGAGTACTTGAGGAAATAATACTCCTTTAGAATTTCAAATGTAAGGAAATATTGCCTCCAAGTGTGTTTTACCTGTATATTTCAGGTAAATTGCCAAGAGATGTCACATGCTGTTGTCAGATATAGACATTTTTGCAAAGGTAAAGTTTTAAGATACTTTGCATATGTAAATAAAAAGTAAATTTGTCACTGTAACAGGCCGTTAAGGCCCATAGGGGTGTGAGAGGTCAAGGCTCCCACATCTTCTAGACAGTCAGATCATGGATGGCAGTAAGGTTGTCAGCCTTATGGGCCAGCCACTCTTTAGCCCCGAGGAATCTTCCTGGTACTCATTTCTGCTAGAGGCTGAGTCAACGCCAGGGCCATGGTGCGGCTGGAAGGCTTAGGTAAATTGACAAATTAAATGACCTCATCAGGAATCAAACCCACAGCCTTCCAGCTTGTAGCACAGAGCATCAGGATAAATAAACATAATAACAAAACATAATGCATATTTATGCTGTGATGAATTGAAATGAAGAGGAATAAATATTAGGGCCATGATGGTTTATGTATCTGACCAATGGAAAGCTCAAAAGAGATGTGAAGTTTGAGGTTCTCATATTGGGAACTATGAAAGTTACTGTTGTTGGGATGTACTGTCATGTAGTTTTGTAGTATGTTACCAGAATGTGATTCTTTTCTACATTGAAGGTGGATGTAGCAGACTTCTTAAAACTTTGGTGATGTCCTGCCAGAGTACATGGCATTACATCCCAGAAAAGAGTCATCTTTAGTCTCAGATCTGTACAGTGAAACCATACAGGCTGGGAGTAGGATCTTCTGCACATGCTGCTCTATTTGCATATGCATGTAGGGTTTTATCATATAAGGAAACCTAATGCTATGCTATTATACTGTTAAATCTCATTTTTACTCAGTACATTATTTTTGAGAATGTAGTGTCAGAATTCTACTCTAATTCAATACACATTGAATTAGTAAACAAAGAGTTGAATGAGGAATGCTGATACTTACAGCAAGAGATGCTAGCAGAGAAACAACTCCAAGTCCCACCATTCTTCCTTCTAGGACAAATAAATTGATTTCTATCCCAATTAATCCAAACTGAATTGGCTGGATTATGGTGTAGAGGAGTTCAAAATTCCTTTCTGCAGCTTGCTACAAATTACAGAAAGTAACACTTATTTTTGACAACTTTTAAAGGTCATTTATATGAAACTTTGTGGTCTAGTACTTTTCTTAAGTTGAACATTTTTTCAGTTTGGTGAATATTTGATAACCATATTAGTTCAAATATACTTGGGCACTGGTTGACATGTTCCAACAAGTTCCAGTGCAGAAAGTCTGCTTCTTGCAGAACATGCCATACACATATATGGATAGATGGACATTTACAGTATAAATTTACATAGTCAAAATGGTTCTTCATACACAGAAAACTGTGGCTTTGTGTTTGTTCTTGATTATATCCCATGATATATGCCCTCCTTTAAGATCCATTTTGATATTGTCTACTCCTCAGTGCCTAGAATTTCCTAGTGGTCTCATTCCATTAGATTTTCCTCCAAAACTGTGTGTGCATTTTGCATCTCTATGATGCATGCTACATGCCCCATCCATCATCTTCCCTCATTTTATTATCCAAATAATATTTAGTGACGATTACAAATTATAAAGAGCTGGGATAGCGTAGTCGGTATAGCAACTGGCTATGGGCTGAATGATAAAGGGGTTGGAGTTGGAGTCCCAGTGGGGGCAAGAATTTTCACTTCTCCATGTCGTTCAGACTGGCTCTGGGGTCCACCCAACCTCCTATCCAACGCACACAGTCACAAGAGAAGGACACAACACAGAGCACAATATACACATGAATGTAGGAAGAGTGCTCCCATAGAGGAGGATTGGCGTGACTCGCATATTTGAGATACGACGTATGGATGACGAATCCTGAAAGGTTTTAGTATTTAGAATTTGTTGTTATACATGATGAATACGCATTTTAGTCATTTTAGAATGAAGACGTCATGGCATGCAGTGCAGTAGTTTGACATGGACAGAGACACCCCTGAAGATGGCACATTAGTGCCGAAACATGTAGTGTAAAAGTGAAGAGAAAGGTGAAATTTTGTGCACTGTAAGACGGCTAGCATAAATACACATCATGGACATGAATCAGTGCAACAGGACGCTAAAATATAACTTTGATACAGTGTGTGTGTGACTAAAATTACAGTGCACTATTACACATTGGTGTCCACAGTCACATCTTCATTGCATACCACGTTGCTTCCTGCTCAAAGATATTCGTCCTGAACAGTCTACAGGCATAATGCTATTTTTTCTGCTATAATGGGGCCCACCTCTGACTTTTATGACAGCCCTCATGGATGGCACTGCAACAAGTTGAGCCCGACCCATCTTCCGATTTTGATGCATTCCAGCCATCATTTTTCTTATAACAGATTTTGTTCTGCTGTTCTCCAGCTTCACTCTCCTTGGGACTGCTTGTCTCGAGCGGCTCCCTGGCAAGGTGCTAGTCAGTCCAGATATACTACCATCATCTTCGTTCTAGGGGGTCTCTTAATCCTGTACATTATGTCATTGGTCCAGCCAGCTACCTTATATGCCCCCTTCCACAGCGGTTGTAGTTTGGGTGACTTTCTTTTAGTCTGGGTTGGTCGATACAGTCACACTTTGTCACCCTTCCCGCCAGGCAGGCAGTCGTAGCACACTTTTTTCTGTCACTGGCCTCCTTATGGCCGCTGCTTTACATTTATATCTTCCTCCTGGTGTTGATCTTGGCCTGTGTCTTGCTAAGGTTTAGCTTGTGGTTCTGTATCACCACATAGCCCTTACCACACTTGTGACTCTTGTTCCTCTGAGACCCTACATTGGCTCCCATTGCCTTGAGATTTGCTGGTATCGCCAAACACATTCAGACGTTGCTCATTGGAACTTCATTCCCTCTCTCGCCTGTGACCTTGGTTGCTACAGTGTAGTATTTTCTGGGTGTCCCAATCTTGACCAGGAGAGACACATGCTGGAACTCCTAACATCTGTTCTGCAGGTATCAAAGACAGTCTCTCCAATGCTTTCTTCATTGAATCTATCTGACTCTGGGAGTAAGCACAGAATATTTTTTCTGCCTACACCATCTTCTTCATTGAATGCATCTCGCTGTAGCAGTGAGCATGTAGTATTTCTTCTGCTTTTAGCATCATCATTTGTAAGGAACACATCCCATTCTGTGATTCAGTACTGTGTTGTTCTTTCTTTCTAACCACTGTCTTCAGTGATTCCATCATATTCTGGAGGTCAGCATTGCGTTCGTCAATCACCTTCATCATCTTCATTTAAAACATCTCATTACATACCACAGCATGACGTTTATCTTCCAACTTCATAATCTTCTCTCAACTCTAGCATTAAAATATCACCCACCTCTATGCACACACTCAGCTGTGACAAATCCTTTTCTCTATTTCTCTTCCTATGCGAGCTCTTTTGAAGTTTGTCATCTGGGAGATATGCATCATCAACGAAGTGAGAATACCGATGAGGTTGATACGTGTTGGGATAAGAATCTTCCAGAAATTATGCATGCATTTTGCAATGCTCCTTCATTGAAATCCCCAGGATAACACTATTACCTTTTCATTTGTTGTGATGTAATTTGCAAATGGGATTACTTTGGATGTTGGGACTGAGTGTAATAGTCTTTTGTGAAATGTCAAAATTAGGAAGCATAATGTGATCGAGGTATGATATTGCCACTGTTCCTGCCTTCACTTTTTGCATATTTTTCAAGTCTTCAAATCTATATCTCCTTTGTCCTTATTCCTGACTGTCAGATATTTGCGGGTTTGTTGATGTGGGCCACTCTCTCTGCTGAGAGGATGGGTCTGCCGTTTGTAATTGCTGCTTGCCTTTGCCAGTGCAGTTATTCTTGGGTCTGAGTCCCATGAGAATTGTGATCATATTTCACTGGCTCAGAATCAAGACTTCCCTTTTCGTCTCCTCCTACAGCTCGCAGGGCTATAGTGGAGGTATTCGACCCCTCCTCCACACGGGATCCATGGTCTTCATCATGGTTTGTCTAGTTATAACGCTTCAGCATGGACCGCATACAAAATGTTTCTTCCATTATTACTGTGTTCTCTTGCCATGGAAACATGCTTGTTATTGGAGCTGTTACTTAGCAGTGGCTGCTGTATAGTTGCTTGTTTCATAGTTGTTGCCTAGCAGTGGGTCTAAATGCTGCAATATCTTGAGTCTCGAGACTCACTGCAGCACTGGCATGTGGTAACACAATTTTTTTAAGTAAGGGACTATTGGTCCCACAAGGTATAGAGAGGTATAGAGAGTTCAGAAGAACACATGTCCTTCATGTGGAATTTCTTGAAAATCATCACAAAATTTGCAGAATATCTGAAGACCTGTGATAGTATATTGATAAATGCTCTAGCTAATTAACGACACAGTACTCATAGTAACTACAAAGCCTCAACGGAGAACAGTCTTAGTTGAAGCTACTGAGTGCTGTGAGTCATGAGTTTGTCAGTGTGCAGCAGACTTGATGCAGTGCGTGAATTCAGTGTCGTGTCTTAACAATGGCATTAGGGTGAAATGGTGAGTAGAAAGTACATGTTACAATCCTTGGTTCATATTGGTTTTCGCTTGGCTTATTCTTCAATCCTGAAGATGGAGGTGACATGTTCCTCTGCAACATTGGTCCACTACCAATAACTACACAGCATTATGTCCCGGAAGACATCAAGATCGTAAGTGGCTGTGCATGGTGGGACAGTAGTTCCAAATAAGGATAGCATTACAATATGAAGAAAGTATATAGGGGCCATCATTCTTAACCTGACCATGAGGAGTAGGGGTAGGAAAGTGTTTAACTTCAACATCTTTTCATATTTATCCAAGAGATAAGAGCCACCATTATCATTTTAGAAGGGAAGTTGGTGAGCTGAAGAGCTGTTCTGAACAGGTTGATGATGATAAAACATCCCAGCATCTGTTCCTAGAAGCAGATTTGGCCATCTAGTTTGCACCCCAGTACTTTACTTAATCAGGTATAACAGTTCTCATATTATTACAAAGGAAGATCTTACATATATGTTGTACTGTTGGAAACAGGCAGTCCCGTGTGCTCTTTAACACCTGGAGACTTGAATAGGTTAAGATGTACAGAATTTTTTAATCTGTGTAGTCAAGAAATGTATGCTGTGTGAATTGGCTTGTCTTCTCCATGGAAGAAAATCATGAAAAAAGAATATATACATTATTCACATCTTAAACTTACCTTGCCAGTTAATCTCCAGCCATTGCTTGCCACAAAGGAAGTTATTATGCATGCCAGAGGCCCTGCCCCTTCATAGCCAATTGTTGCACTGCCAAACATGAGAAACATTCCTCCTGCAGCCAGAAGAAGAGTCCTCAACATAGTCACTCGAGTCTGACAAGACATAAAACACTCATGTAACAACATGTATGTGATTTTCTTTAATGACCCTGTCAATAGCTCAGCACATATATTATTGACTTTGTATGTAAGTTGTTGGAAATTATCTCTTGAACAGTATGTGTATAAGTTATGTGATATCTTGCAACATTTGTACAAAGCTACGAGGACCAAATAATTGCTGGAAACAATGAAAAAGAAATCGGTAACTAGAAGTTATTCACAGAATTTTATGCTGCAAATCTCAAACAGATAGCTACTACAATAAAGTAACAAATATCTGAAAGGTGAAATGACACTGTTCAATTAATATTTCTCTTTACTTGTGTGTTATATAACTTCTGTGTTTCTTTATGGTGTTTGTGTTTTCACCCAGTAAATTAATGTCATTAACATAGGCCAGAAGATGATGTATGCCATATAACTCAACAATTCCGTATTTAAATTCTAAACAAAGTCCACAGATATTGTTTGATTCTCTAAGTAAAGAGTATTGTATTGTATTGTGTTGTATTGTATTTTATTTTCATCTGTTTTGCTACATAGTAACATTTGGACACGTCATTCAGTAATATAAGTTTCACAAAACCATTTTAATCCACCAACTCATACAATGCAAGTGTAGCAGTTCATGTTCTTGGAGATAGGAATGTAGGCTTACAAACTTACATCGTCTTGATATGGCACATATCGAAGGAACAGTCCTATTGCAAGTCCACAGAGACTACCAATGGCCAGCCCCACAGGACAGCGGATGATTGTTGTTTTCAGGTCTCCTGCAATAAGTGTTTATTTTATGTTTATTTGGTTTGGCTGTACAGTGTCTCATCATTGCAGCAAGAGTTTAAATAATCTTATGTATCTCACAGTCATATTGACATTTCATAACCTCTTGCTCATATTGTCTCTATTGTTGCTGTGCTGCGTAGCAACAAGACATTACATGATGTGCAATATTAACTCTGTCACAAACATCTCATTGTTTAAAAATGTATAATAACAACTCATGCATATGCCATTAAGTTCTAAGCAGAAATTTAAAACGATTTTTGATTCAGAATAACACCGCTCTTTTCCAACCCGCTTTTGTTTATATCAGCTCAGTCGGAATGGTGCTATCCCTGCTACACCTGTTTCCACCTTAGGAGAGTGTATGATGGCCACTGCACGTTATCCTCACAGATCAAACTAAGGAAGGTCGGTATAGGTACGGGAAACTAGCTGGGTCGGTTTGCATGAGTCTCAGGGTAGCGATGCCGAAGAAAGCGGTATTCTGGGAGTTGATCCAATTGACGTTTATTCACCTTTTGTTCTCCAAACCACTGTTAATTTTATGTATCCTTATGCTTTAAGTTATAGCGTTACACGATCTGCAAGCTAGGTCTCGGAGCGTGCAAGGGTCACGTCCGTTCACTTTGGAATATGGTGAAAGCCTCCTTTTTGTGGAATGGCTTGCACACCCCACGCCGAGAATTCGAAAGAATTCGAATTCTCCATGGTGTGGACATACGAGTATACATGTCATTCCATCTTCCGTTAGGAAGCTTGAACGAGGCAACTCAATGATACTTTTACCGTCCCCCTCTATGTAGCCTCTAGCCACACCGGTTGGTCGCTACTCTTTACCTTCCTTCCTTTCTCTTGTGGTTCTCACCACTGCCGTCGTTGGTCGTGGAGCTTGCAGCTAGGTCTGTTTCACCTGGCTCCACCGCTTCTCCAACTCCACCACTTCTCTTCACTATGAAAAGGGTATCCGGTTCGGGACTTGGACTGGATGGTCTATGGGCGCCAGCAACTGTGGGTACAGCTGCGAAGTGAAGGGAAAAGGTGGACGGGGTGGGAGCTGATGATGATCGGGCTAGTAGTGGTTGGCGTGAGACTCTGGCTCAGGTCGTTTAGGGTCCTACTCCGACGAGGAGGAAAGAACACACGGGACACACAAACACTTGGCACCACTTAACTTTATTGATTTTTTTTTTTAATCTGAGCGCCTCTGAGATACAATTCAGTGCGTTACTCTACTATAATTCCACCCGTAGTTCGAACACTTATTTCCTTAACAAACGATGGATAGGGCTAGCTCCGCGTCCGGCGAGTTTAACTGTTCTTACGAGACTCTCCAAAAAGAACTCACTCTCGGTTTTTGAAGATGCAGAGGTCCTGCCAAAATTTGAGGAACGCCTCATTGCCATCTTCCCAATCTCCGGGTTGCTGAATTTAGAAGGGGGAGGGGTTCGATAGATTTCTCATTCCTCCAACGGTCAGCTGTTTCGCGGCGAGAGTTGGGGTTCACACGCTTTCACCGTCTTTCGGACCCGGGGTGGATTGAGAGGGTTCAAGCTAACGGTCTCCTAAGGGTAGGTCCGTGACAAATCAGGTGTTGCAAATTGGCCCCTTTCCTCTACTAATGAAACAATCCGCCGCTCCTTTCTAAAAGCAGGTTTTAACATTTGGAGAGTTATGACCGGTTAGAGGGCCACCTCTCTACGTGACTAAAGTTCTTTTCAATGTCTTTTGGACATATTTCTCTTATTAGTACATATGGCTATTTCTAAAAGTAGGGAGAGTGTCGGGCTGGTTTGGGTTTAGTCCGGGGATTGTGACCCGTCATAAACTTTACCATCCCGGAACTGCGAAAGGGTTCAGGTCCCGTTGGTTGGAGTGGGATGTGAGGTATTGCCTCTGCTTTGATGTAGCGACAAGTACAGACACACGTGAACAAAACATTGTAATCCTTTGCATTGTGCGGTTACAATACTGGCCCTCATTCACAGGCAACTGTAACAAGTTCTGACCTGTCCTTCTCACTGACCTTCCTTTTAGGCGCGTCGGATTCCCTGTACCCGAGCTAAATTTATGACTGCTCGTAAATGTCAGAACTCCGGACTCCCTGGTTCTGCCAGAATCTAGAAATTTCAACATAAACACCGTATTGCACGTCCCAGACAATGAAATACAATATTAAAGATCACAATACATTTCCAGGAATATCGAAACATAAGACTTTTGAAATTAAAATTACCGAGAATTAATTAAAATAAATTTCATGGTCATCTATAATCATCCAAATAAATAAGGGCCCAGAATGATCAGCGTCAAGAAGGAAGGATGCTTAAGCACTAATGAATGAAGTAGAGAGATTTTTACATGGATACAAGTATAACTTTGAAATAGATATTGAAGATATAGAGCTTAACAGTGTAGATTGGATTTAGCTGGCTCAGGATAGAGTTATATGCTGGACTCCTGTGAAAATGGTAATAAACCTTCAGGATCCATTAAACATAGAGAATTTCTTGACTGGCCAAGTGACTGTTAGCTTCTTGAGAGGTACTCTTATGTGGAGATGGTTAGATAGTCAGACATTGTATATAGAATAAATTATTATGTAAAACTTTAATATAAAACGTCCAAAACGTTTTACATTAATCACCAAAAGCGCGGTGCACCCTAAGTGCAGTAGACTGTGTAGTTTGAATAAATATTGCGTTTGACCCATACATTTCTGCAAGAATAATACATTGCAAATACCAAAATCCTTGAATACATATGTGTTACAAAAGTCTAAACAGCAGACAACCAAAGCAGCATAGTATCCAAAAGGTCCTGAATACAATTCTTTCAGTATAATGGCCTGAAGATGGGAGTAGAATCAAATCTCGAAATGCCGCATTGGCCCTGTATCAAACGCATGTCAGATAATGGGCAGTATCCAATCTAATATGAGTGTAAAAAGAGTTGTTTATGAAGTGTGGGCGTTACCTGTCGATGTAGCAATGTTGAGCAACACTCCAAAAGCAGAGATGGCAACAATGTCATCGAAACTCGCAGCCGCAATGACTATAGTTGGGATTCCCTTAGCCTTGCCATAGCTTCCTTTGGTTTGCAGATTGCAGAGCAGGGGGATAACAACCTCTGGGGACACCGCCGCCAGGACCGCCCTGCCAGCAAATCACAGTGACACTGATCAGTCTTTTACAAAGCCTTCCTCAGTCACTCTCTGCGAATGCTGGGGTACAGCATACAATAGTATGCGGCACTTGACATACAGTTCCACATCCACCGCTTCTAAGAATTTCAACTCATGCAAGATGGAGAATGTACTGTAAACGCACGCCCCTCGTCAAAATTATATAATTAAGATTATGAACTATTTATGCATTGTTTAATACCGTGAGAGACGCTCCATCGGCGAGGTACCATCCCCGGACCTTCTGGTTGTAATGCCGCTATTGTCCTCCTTAGGCTAAGGGTGCCGCTATTGTCCCTAACGCCGCCTGGTTACTCCCAGTATATCATAAACCCATGAACTGACCGTGTGCGAGACCGGCCGGGAGGGGTCTTGGATTCCTTGAAGACCGACAGAGGTTTATGGGCATCTTGAAAGATACGAATGTAGGCCAGATGTCGGGCTCGACCCTTGGATTTCTCTTGTTATTTTCTTGTTGTTCTGATACCAACTGGGGGACTTGAAAAGATGGGGGGTCGGCTATAGGGAGCGGAGGAGGATAGTAGTTGGAATGTAGATAGAGAGGAGAGAAGTGTTTAAGAGCAGTGGTAGCTAGTCGGCGGACGGAGCGGCTAGCTTGGAGAATAATGTACAGATTTATCATTAATGAAATTTTAAATTAAAACTGCCATCCACGGCGTGTTCTGGAGATCCCGGATTTATTTACCCCGAAGTGTGTTCCACTCCCTTCTCCAAAGCACCCGTATCCCTGAGAGAAAGAACTCAAGCTCGAGTGACAGTCGTGGCAACTGTAAGTCGGCGGTCGGCTACAGTACACAACTTGCAAATAATTTTCGTTCCTGTTTGAACCAGGCTATCCCCTGTAAGATCGCAGGAGAGACGGGTTCCATTGAGAGGCCAACGCCATCTTCGAGTTTGTTACTGATGGGCTTCATCCTGTGGGGTACAGTGAACAATAAAGTATACCTGAAGAAGCCTACAGACAGTGATGGACTCTGGGAACACAATGAAGAGGCGTTCCACAATCTTGATAAATACACAATTTGCAAAAGTTAAGTGTAATGTCAAATAAAATTCCAGCTGCGTGCAAACTCCGAAATTGGCAGTTTGATAATATAGTACTTAATTTTGCAATTAATATTCCCAATGAGGTCATTGGAATTTTCAAATCACTTAATCCTTCCAGCCGCACTATGGCCCTGGGATCGACTCAAACTTTAACAAAAATAAGTACTAGGAATCTTCCTAGGGGCAAATGACGTTTAAGGCTGACAATCTCAACGCTGTATGTGAAGCAATTGTCTAGAAAATGTAGGAACCTCGATGTCTCACAACCTTACTGGTCTCCACAGCCTGTTACAAGGATAGCTTTATCTTGTTATTGTATTTTCCTTGTGTTATTTAAGGACGCTTTTCAGTATTGAGACTGTCTTCACTATAATCAACATTTTGGGAAGAACACCTTCAGTTTTTTCAGAGGTAAATTATTTCATAACGAAGTTTTATTCTTTGTTTATTTGACGGCAGTTTCCATATGGAGCCAAATGGGAGAATGCTTGTGAAAACCGGATTTTTAACTATGTGCAAAAAAGCGATTGTGTCTATCTTAAGATACTAGACCATCATTTTCTTGGGGGAAGTAAGTCTACGAAACATTTCAATCATGGTAGACAGACCTCGAATCGAAATCAAACCTACGATGATACTAACGCAGTTAAATAAGTAGCATTGTTTTAAATTGTGTTATGGTCACAAAATGGGGTCAATGCTCACCCTAATAGGAAGCCCCAGATCCAAGGTAAATCAAGCAGAAAATATGCAAAGACGGCCACAGCCACAGCCTCGACCACGGCCGGGCCAATCGCTAATCTCAGTACCATCGTCCCCAGGCGCTTGAGTGCAGAAGGATCGAGCTCCAGGCCCGCCCTGAGGAGAATCACCACCAGAGCCATCTGCCTAAAAACCACAAATGTAACTTTAGGAACATTTTCTGCCAGACTAACCGCTTAAAATACTAATGAGTGTTATTGAACAATTTGAAATTCCATTGTAAACAACCGCAACTGCACAGATGCTACTTGATGCGACGTTCATAACACTAATACCTGAGGGTAGCAGCGACGTGAAGGTACCCGCCTGTCAGGACTACGAAACCCACGTTCCTGAGTGCGATTCCCGCCAACATCATGCCCAGGAGGGAGGGCAACTGGAGGAAAGAAATTAACCAGCCAGCCAGGTACGCTGTAATGGCTAGCGCTCCAATCTGAAACAGTTGTCCCTGGGGGCTCGCCATGGACCCCAGCTTGGAGACAGCACCGCCCCACAACATAAGTCCCAGTACGGCCACGGCAAGAATTCGGGACACTTGCGGCCAGTATAGGTAGCAACAGCGGCTCCTGAAATTTAAAAACTGAGTGAGTAAGGCGACTGATAGGGCCATAACTTTCTCAAGCGGTGCCTTGAGATATTTACCGGTGGAAGGGTAATATGTGCGTGATGCTGGCTGTTCTTCAAGATCAAAAAATAGAACAGATCAGAACAAAAATGAGCATGGAAGTAAGACAATAGAAACGGTTCTTTTCTGATGATGATGATGTCAGTTTCACAGCACAGAACCTGTTTAGCAGTGAACCATTGGATAGTGACGAAAGTGCTGAGAAGTTCTGAACCAAATTTATCGCAACCATCACTGTCATAATGGTCATAGGTAAAAAGAGTAAAATTGTCCCTATGCTTAACTAATTAAGCACTACACCATGAAGATGTACAGGGGAGTGGAAGTATAGGCCCAAATTTTCTTGACCTCTGCACTTGTTTGAGGTGAGTGGTCAGCTTCACTCCCCAGCCGCTTTACCACCGGGGAAAATCCCACAGTACCCATTGGATAGAAGCCTGGGTGGGCCCCAGAGCCGGTCTGGACGACATTGAGAAATTAAAATTCTGGCCCCCTCCCGGGTCATAATGGTCATAAATCCCAAGATATGTCACTATGCAAGCTTTATTATTTTACTAATTTATTATCATCTGTTCTACTTTAAGAAAGAGAGATATCCGGAATTTCCCCGGCTGGTAGCCAAGAGGAAGCCGGTGTTTTATCGACACCTTCCCGATATTTGCTCAATTTCACTTCATAGAAATAGTTAACGAAGTACAGTGAAGAAGTCTAGAATGCACAGACTTCTACGTACCTTATTCGCTTTCGCGGCGTGATTGTCGGACAACAGACAACTTTGCCTTTACCTTCCTACGAGGCTCCGCCACTCTACTAAAATGCAGATTGAGTGCGAATCTTATACAGTAAGACCCTCTCGGTGCCACAGTTCGGAAGGTACGAACCTCTTTTCAGAAGCTGCAACGCTCTGCACATTTCCTTCGTCCACTCTCTCGTCTGCACTTGTCTCAGCTTTCGAGAAACCTGGAAGTGTAGAATATGACTGTAACATGAGTGTAGCATGAGTGGGAAATGTGCACCTCATTCAGTTTGTGGCACTCAGACTTCCCAGGTATCTTCTTGTTCACTCGGACCGATTGCTATGGTACTGTATTACAGTTACCGGCGGTTGTGAGGTCCTGACCGTCCTGACGGTCCTGACGGGCTGGTGTAGCGGCAGCGCTCTCGACGGCCCATTCGGGAAATGCTCGGTTCGACTATCGATTGGGACACTCGCTATCTTGACCGAGTTGTTTTTTTGTTTTCCGCAGTCACTCCATACAAATTCCAGGATAGTATCTCGACTAGGCCATGACTGTTTCCTTCCAAATCCGTTCCAATTTATTACGTCATGCTTCCTTTCGACGCTGAGTAGTCTTGCCACTGACAGAGAGCAAAACAACCCACCATGGGGGGGGGGGGGGGNTGCTGGAATAACCACGAGGAGAGGCACAACTTAGTTTTCAATTAGGCCGCGCCATAGCTCAAGCGGTTAGTCGCTGGCTTTCCACCGCGGAGGCCCGGGTTCGATCCCGGGTCTGGTCAAGTGGGATTTGTGGTGGACAACAGGTTTTCTCCGAGTACTTCGGTTTCCCCTGCCAATCTTAATTCCACCAATTGCTCCACAATCACCCTCACCTATCATCTGGGGCTGGTACAATAGGCCAGAAGTGGCCGCAGTACAAGGGACTTAGTCCCACCCCACTAGCAATAAAAAAAATAGTTTTCAATTGTCTGAGGGTTTCTTTCTTTCTCTCTACGGCTCTACTCGTATAGTCCTTTGGACCTTGGCAGCTTTTTGAATGTCTTAATCTATACGTAGTCGGTAGGACTCCTTGGATGGGGGATCAGCCCGTCGCAAGGCCTCTGCCTACACACAGAATAACACAAGCACAGAATAAACGTACACAGACATCCATGCCTTCGGTGAAATTCGAACCCACGATTCCAGTTTTCGAGCGGACGAAGACAGTTCATGCCTTAGGCCGCGCGGTACTGTGATCGGCCTGAAAGTTTCTTAAGAATTCCAAATTCTTTACACCAGTATTAACCTGTCTGATGTCCATGTATATATATTTGACATATGCGACTTTTTGAGACTGATCAGATTAGCCAAGAGGCAAAGCTCTAAATCTGTATTCTGGAGCTAGTCGGTTCTAATATCGGCCGGGAAGCCGATTATCCTGATTTTTGTGTGGTTTTCTTCAGCACTCCCAGGAAAATGAGTTGTATCCGGATTAAACCACGATCATCATTCACGGATCACCCTACCATCCGACGCTATATAGATTCGATTTTGAAAGCGTCGAAGTAAGTGACGACGTTTTGGGAGTTGAGCCTTTTCCTGCCTGCAAGTGATTGTTATTTTACCAACATCTGTCAGTGTAAGGACAACTAGCCTCATGCAAACACGAGAAGGGCCAGGGCTGGAAATATCGTGTACACCTTTAGCGGATGTATTAAGGCCAATGGGAAATGTCTGAAGAGCCGGGATAGCTCAGTCGGTATAGCGACTGGTTACAGGCTGGACGACCGAGGTGTCGGAGTTGGAGTCCCGCTGAGGTAAATAATTTTCTCTTCTCCATGGCGTCCAGATCGGTTATGGGGCCCACCCAGCCTCCTATTTAATGGGTACCGGGGGCCATTTCCCGGAGAAGAGCGGCTGAGGCGTGTAGCTGATCACTCACCTCCAACTAGCGCCGAGGTCAAGAAAGCGTGGATCTATACATCCACTCCCCCATACGCCTTCATGGCTTAGTGCTTAATTAGTTATGCAGAGGGTCGACTTTACTTTTTACCTTAACGAACAGTGTCTGATATAATACCCATCACCATAATTCTATCTATTTCCTAGATTTCATTAAAAATCTAACGTGAAATGTCATATGAACTTCATACTAGTCTGGAATAATCGTGCTTATACGAGTATTGGGCGCTTATTTCTATTCCCTTGATGGATTTTCTTAATAAATTTCATAGAATCCGATTTGAAACCCATGTAAATCACATGCAATATAGTCTACGAAAGATGCATCCTCTGTCACCTGTCTGGAACCTGTAAGTTGGTAAAAATCAGTAGCGCCTTGAAATACTGTACCGCAATGAGCCCGACGTACAACGTATTTTTATATTTTACAACTTCCGTTAGAATTATAACTATCTGCATATTGTAGGATCTTCCTAGAAAAATTGACACTTGCTCAACTTGTGGACAAGAAGTTCCTGTATGTTTTCGAATCCAAAAGATTATTGCCTTATTCAGAGAAGCCTTTCTGAGACGACTGCATCCAGTCCACAATTACACCCACTATTCCTTTAAGAGCAATTAAAATATTGTCTTCTCATGTACGAGTACGTGTATGCTTAGGTTTCCGAAGTGCTTGGTCTATTGCTTAGGTCGTGTCAAACAAAAGAACTGCCGAAGTCTCAAATCATTTATGAAATTGTGTGACACGTCAGCTTTTGTAAGGCGAGGTTGTTAGCTGCACACCCAACCAACAAGCCGAAAGACCTTCCCTTAACGGCCGACCATGATTGTTTATTCAACGTAAACGTATTCACAGCAATCCTTCATATTTTGAGCCCACCTTCTGAGGTTCTACCATGTCATGGTTAATAAAATGTGATCTATAGCAAGATTGAATACACCAGCATGGTAACTGGGCGTATTATTCTTTTACGTTGAAACTGCTAAATCATTGTAACTTCAAATATGACCGCGCCATAGCTCAAGCGGTTGGTTCGCTGGCTTCCCACCGCGGCGGCCTGGGTTTGATCCCGAGTCTGGTCAAGTGGGATTTGTGGTGGATAAAGTGACGCTGGGGTAGGTTTTCTCCGAGTAATTCGGTTTCCCCTGCCAATTTTCATTCCACCAATTGCTCCGCAATCACCCTCACCTATCATCTGGGGCTGGTGCAATAGGCCAGAAATGGCAGCAGTACAAGGGACTTAGTCCCACCCCACTGACAATAAAAAAACTTCAAATATGAATATTATATGATGAAACCGAATATTTACATTATTGGCAACGGACTAAATTCGGGATAGAAACAGTAAATATTATTTAAGAGTTAACGGATTACACGTATGTGTATAAATTCAGGTAAATATTCACAAACTAATATCCAGGATGTGCTGGAAAATCTATGTAAAGATTTCATTTTTCGTCTTCTTGAACATCGAGACCATGAACATTGCAACAGATCAGTTATTAATTTAATTTGCGTTACCATTCAAGTGTCAAACTTGTAAGAAGAGCAGGAAAGTGGGCTACATGTGTACATGCCCTGAACTTCCTACGGCCGCAGCAAAATTCCTCGCGAAAGCTCATACCTTTTAAACCCTTCCAGAAGAGCACAAACACTAACTAACGAACTTTTTACCTACATAAAATGTAAAATTAACCTTCTGCTTAATTAATTAAGCACTATGATGTGAAGAAATATGGGGAAGTGGGCGTGTAGATCCACATTTTCTTGAATTCGACACTGGTTGGAGGTGAGTGGTCAGCTTCACGCCCCAGCCGCTTTACCCCCAGGGAAAGAAGCCCCCGGTACCCATTGGAAAGGAGGTTTGGTGGGTCCCAGAGTCGGTCTGAACGACATGAAGAGGAGAAAATTCTTGACCCTACCTGGACTCGATCTCCTCGCCTGGGTCGTCCGGCCCGTAGCCAGTCGCTATACTGACTGAGCTATCCCGGCTCGTATTTTTATACATAAAAACACAATTTTTATTAAACATTATACACCAAAGTTCCCAGTGACTTCCAGCTCCGCTTGGATCGAGAGTTTTGGCGGCCGCAAGGAAATGTTAATCTGCATCTCCAGTTTGGTCACCCGTCGGCTTCTCCTGCCTAACCGAAAAACAGTCGTTATAATTCGAAGTAGGGTTTAGTCTAGTTACAGTAATGGAAGTGAGCTCGTCTCTTTGGAGTAGTGATATTGTGTTGATGATGGTATTACGATCTGCGAGTTTAATCTTTCTTAAGTCTAAAGTGCACCACGCTTTTAATACACCCTTAAACACCTTCTATGCTATGTACGAGATTTCTCATGTAGAAGATGTTAAGATATTTCATGTCGGAGAAAATTAAAGAAAGGAACGTGTCCTGCCAGTTTTCAACAGGAGAAGCTAACGTTAAATTTAACAGTTTTTAAACAATATAAATTATGTGATACTATAGAAACATAACTGAATATGATGTGTAACGGCTGAAATCAGGAATCGGAACAAGTTGCCGGAGATATTCACTTTAGAAACGATACAGAAAGTAAGATACAGACGTATTTCATGACAGTAGGTGAAGTGGCAACGTACTCCTACAAATCGTCGAATTACAAAATGTAGAGGCCTATCTTATCGTACCAAGGAAGAAGAAGAAGGAGGAGGAGAAGGAAGGAGGAGGAATAGGGAGAGGTGGAGAAATAAGCAGAGGAAGAGGAGAAGGAAGGAGGAGGGATATGGAGAGGAGGAGAAATAAAGAGAGGAGGAGGAGGAGGAGAAGAAGAAGATGAAGAATGAGGAGGAATAGGGAGAGGAGGAGAAGTAATGAGAGGAGGAGGTGGTGGAGAAGGAAGGAGGAGTAATAGGGAGAGGAGGAGAAGTAAGGAGAGGAGGTGGAGAAGAAAGGAGGAGGAATAGGGAGATGAGGAGGAGGAGGAAGGAGGAGAAATATGGAGAGGAGAAGAAGATGAAGAAGGAGGAGGTGGAGAAGGAAGGAGGATGAACAGGGAGAGGATGATAAGAAGGAAGGAGGAGGAATATGGAGAGGAGGAGAAGTAAAGAGAGGAGGAGGAGGAGAAGAAGATGAAGGAGGAGGAGGAGGTGGAGAAGAAAGGTAGAGGAATAGGGAGAGGAGGAGAAGTAAGGAGAGGACGAGGAGGAGGAGGAGGAGAAGAATAAACGCCCAAGCTTTGTTAGTGACTATTAACTTCTAAAAATAACTCTGCTCCATGGGGTGATTAGTTGCAAATTATTGGTGTTACAGTACTGTTAATATGATAGCAGATTTACATGTCAGAAATGACTGAAAGGACACGCGTACCTTCGTTTGTAATTGACACTGCATCGTTGTGCATTGGAACTGGATGCAGGATTATCTCTTCCATCGACATGGTCTTCAGTTCTTCTAAGTTTCTGCTGGATAACAACGAAACAGTGAATGATATAAATCAATTGATATATCGACATGTTTTTTTACTTCCATGTTAAGTGGGTCGGTCTCTTGTCAGCAGGGCGTGGCGTGTCCTCAGGTACGTACGGAGGAGGGAACCTCCAGATGTGGAAGGCAGTAGCTGCAATGTACGAGCAGTAAATAGGCAGTAGCAGACACCTGGACATGGGGCAAACAGTCCAGAGTAAAATAACTAGCATCATACGAAATGTTACACAGACTATCGGAATTTTGGGGGCTTTTATGAACATGATAATGAACGATCTTGTTCCATAAACTACGGTGAACTCTGACAAGTTTACGATTATTATGCTTAGGAACTAGTGGCGGTTATTGTTTAGAATTTTAGTTTTTCACAGCGGTGGTTATACAGTCTTGTTTTCTGGAATATAATGTTATAACGCTATTTGTTCTGTAAGTAGTCTGCTTCATGCTGGTTTCTTACTTGGCTTATTCTTCAACCCTGATGATGTACTCGATATATTCCCCCGAAAATTCCGTTGACCTTCAGCAGACTGCACGGCGTTATATCTTAGAAGACAGAACCCTTTGTTTTTATTGGTTCCTCAAGAATGACTCTTCTTCGCAGAGTAAGACATTTATTGGCTTTACTAAACGCAGTCAGCTTCGATGGCTGCTGGCCTAAGCTCCTAAGCATGAGATACGAGATAATCAGAAAGAAATGCATAAAAATTGGAATGAAGGGGCCATAGCAACTTAGTCATTTCCTGCAGCCAATTCAGCTGGAAGAATTTAACGAAACTGCAGAGAATACTCTTATCTAAATGAAGCCCAAATTCCTTCGAAGTATCATCATCATGTGGATTGAAGCATCTGATGGTTGCACGCATTATAAGTTCTTTTGCTTATCGCCTATATGAGAAAGTAACAAATGCCTAAGGCGCTGGCCGCTAGTATGATGCAGCAAAAGTTTCCTAAAGGTTGGGATCCGTAGATTCAGAAAATGGGGTTCCTCTGTTATTTATCCTGAACAATTTTCATAAATCTGAGACCTTTTTCCTAACGCGAACAGTTCAGGAGACAACGACTGCTATAATTCGTTCTAACCTATGCAATTTTTCTACGATTTTATAATTTAAACTCACTTCTGCGGAGTTAAGTTAGAGAAAGATAGATGTCTCCTGTAGATATGTCCTCATGGCATGTCACCATGCTGAATGGACATTTTGAGCTACAGCAGTTCACCAAACATCGCGATTGCACGAAATGTTCTGCATTATAGCAAAGTTGTAACTTTTTGTTTTCCTAGAGCTTCTTCGTTACTAAAAGCCTTAAGCAGTATTTATTTCAAATACACTAAACGCTGCCGATCACAGTTGCCGTGCGATCTAAGGTATGAAATGTCTTCGCTCGCTCAAACACTGGGAAGTGGTTTCGAATTCCACTTCAAGCATGGATGTCTGTGTCCTTTTATTTTGTGTTTGTGTTATTCTGTGTATAGGTAACGGCCTTGTGACGGACCGATCCCCGTCCAAGGGGTCCTACCAACTGTATAGATCAGGCATGTCCAACACGTCAATCGCGGGACGATTTTTGGTCAGTCTCATAGGCCTATAAGGAAATTACCCATTGGGCAAAGCATCTCTTGAAAATAAGATATTAACCCTTAAAAATTACATTTTTTCTCAAGACTCGTTTTGGAAGTTAGTGCCTAGACACAAATTTCCCAACTTAAGATGCAGTGAAATCGTACACTCCTGTTTCGTTTCAAATTATTTGTGTGATTCTGCGTTTTCTTACCTAAAAATGACAAAGAGTAAACAACGTTCCAACATGACAGATTAACATCTCCAGGATTGCCTGAAACTGGCCGTCACCCAATACTCACCTGACTTCCAAAAGCTGGTGGATGAAATGCAGGCCAAGACGTCTCACTAACGAACAATGTAAGTCTGTACTTTCAATGTACGTATTCTGCTTTTAAAACAAACATCATGTGTCGTGTTATTTTTACCAATATTTTTGCTTAAAGCGAGGTACGACGAGAGGAGGGGGTGGTAGATCACTGGCAGTTTTGACACTAAAAAGTTGATCACAACTTGTTTGAAGTTGGACATACCTGGTATAGATGAAGAAACTGAAAAGTCGCACAAGGGCTATAGAGCCATAGATAGATAGATAGATATACAGATAGATAGATAGATAGATAGATAGATAGATAGATAGAGGGTGGATGGGTGGTTGGGTAGGTAGGTAGGAAGGTAGGTAGATTGACAATGAACATTAGGATCTCATAATAAATTATACTACAATTCTCCGTTGTGCTAGCTGACTCGGCCTCTATGTCTGTCCTGATATTGACAGCAAGTTACTTTGATCTCCAGCGTCGTTTCTTAACGATTTTCAAGAATAATGGACAGCCGATATCAAAAATTGAAAAACTACGCGGAAGGGGAAAGCTGTACGTAGCTTGGCAACTATACTTACTTTACGTGTGCTGATAGCTCTTATTTTCTGTGATCAACGAAGTAACCGATATCACTGAAGGAAGATGTGTTGCCCTTCCTTGTGGACCCGTGCTGCTAGCATCGCACGAGTGTCTGCTGTTTGACGTAAACGTAGAAGACTCCATGCACCTTGAACGAGATTGGGCTGGAAACTGACACTCCTTTACTGGAACTCCGGATTATATAACCTCGCGAGGACTTTCTTCAGATTACGTAATTGGCTAGGCGTCATATTTAGAAGAGTCGCCTGGATACAGACAACAGCAAATTGCAGCGTTCATCTATCGAACACGACAAAGAAACAATGAAATCCAAACCCATCTAAGAGAACGTTCCGTTGAAATCATCAGGAAAATTAATCATCTTTATTGTAGTCTATCCAATTTCGGAGATAGTTACTCAGTACTGAAATTTACGAGTGATAAAAGTGTAAAATTTAGAGGTCCATTATAATAAATGACTATTTAACTCATAAATGCCTAGGAAATTACATTATTGCTATTTCAGAACAAATTAAATGAGCATTGACCCATTAATGAAAGAACTATCTAAAGATAACATGTTTGAAACCGAATCTACGCTCTGCATTATGTCCGAAATGCAATGATGAGTACGTCAGTAACATTCTTGAGGGGCAGCTTGGAACCTTATCAGGTATCCCTCTTCTATACTTCAAAGAAGAAGAAAATTATTTCCCAAGAACCTTTAAGTTGTATCTAATACAGGCTTAATCTTGTTCATTTCTAGTACAGCAACCCCTCAACATTCGCTTTTCTTCACACGAAAAATTAAGATATTCCTTGTTCTCCATTTCTATCCAGTTCTGCCAGACGCGGTATTTGGTTTCATGTACACACGAGCTTTGCGTACATATGGAAACAAATGATGGCTCCAGCACACTCACTACGGATAGGATTGTAGTGTCATCAACACCAGTTTTATAGCTCTCAGAGGTTTTATTGCAATGTTTTTTTTTCTGAAAATTCTTCCATTACTACTTTACGTTTAATTTAATTTCTTACTATCCTGTGTTTATTAAAGGAAAAGACAATAGCTTGGTTCAGTTCAGTGTTAACACACGCCTCGGCGCCTGTAACTTCCAGTTTCAAGTCTTTGATCTTGCCAACCGCTGAATTTTTCCTGAAAAAAACCCTCATATTTGGTGAGGGGTTGGTGTGCTAATGAGGTGGTCTATCGCACGCCCAGTGGTAGGCTTCTTTGACAGTGTTACTTAACTATTCTCTCAATATTTATACTGTCACGATTCTCTGAGTGACTATAAACGGGGTTTGGATTGGTAATTAGAATTACTGAACACTTACAGATCGGAGCTCTAAGTAATTACAGTGCTATCGCTATTTAACAAAATCTACAGTTCATTTCAGCACGTACTGAGCCTTCTCAGTCTGCTGTGTCTTCACCAGTCGTTGTCTGGTAATGGCTTCCAACACCGTAGATCCTACAACTTCCGTGTTCACGGCTTCACGTCTTCTCTGGCTGTCACCTCTCTCACTGCAGATCCTGAGTTGAACTAACTGGCTTCCAACTGCCGCACTCACTCACAGACTGTGGGTCGCTAGGTCTGTCAAACTGCTGCTAGTGTTCGGCGGCACAATCATTTCTGGCTTCAGTCTCTTCAAGATCCATGACCAAGATTTGTATTCTCTCACAGACCTGCACAATCGACTCCTTATGTAGCCTCGGTAAGGACCGCAGAGAAAACGCCTCACAACAGTTCTTATATTGCTGCAGCGCGTAGCTATCGCTCGGACCGTGTAAAGAACACCAGTCCTCTGTTGCTCTTTACGGCCATTACCTAGCAAAGACCGTTGCTTACAAAGTCACTACTTAGCAAGGGTCTACATGCTGCAATACTATGAAGTTTCGGATGGTAGGATGGTAAATGAATGTGGAGCAATAGGTATACTGAGAATTGGCAGGGGAAACCGAAGTACCTGAACAAAACTCACCCCAGAGCCATTTTGTCAACCATAAATCCCATATGTAGTGACCTGGGATCGAACGTGGGCCGCTGTGGTGGGAAGCAGGTGACTAACAGCCAGTGCTATGGTACGACCTGAAGGCTGTTATGAATCTGGTAATGAACATTCGAGTTCTATAATAATAGGGATTGTCTTGACCAGCTGAGTGGCTATTAGCTTCTCAATGACTCTTTCTCTCTCTGACGGTAGTTTATCGGATATAATGTGCCAAGGCCAACCTTTATAATGATTTTCTCCATAATTTATCCATTTAAGGCTCGAAACATATCTAAATAACATTTAAATATACGGCTTTTATCTCGAAGAAAACATACTGCATTTCTGATACAAATACCAGTCTGATAATAATATTGTCACGTGTAGGGGGTAGGCGTGACGAAAATAACGGGTTATAGATTGGATAATTTGATTTATTGACACTTCTGTTACAAGTTCTCTTAATCACTCTCAACTTAACGCTTCGTACACACTTTTAGTTCACCGTTCCACACTCACTAGGATTCTCATTTTCCACTATTCGTCTCCTGGCAACGGATCTCAACACATAATCTATGAAGTCTTATTGTTATTTCGTCTTCAATCATTCTGTACTCCTCTGTCATAATCTGTACTCAATTCATCTTCACAATTCACTAAGGACATGCTCCATTCTCGTCCTTGTACTCTCAATTGCAGTGGACTAATCTACGCCACAACAGAGTCTCGTTATATTGGCTCCGCACAGACCTCAAAGAAAAAGAATCATGTGATTGCTATCTCGCCAACTCATTGGCCCACCGACTGCTGCCGAGCAACGAGATATAATATTCGTCCACTGAGACACAGCTGCCATTGTTGCGCATTGGAACGTGTTTACCGAGCTGTTGCCTAGAAACGGGTTGCATAACCCCGTTGTTCTATTGTTGCGCGCGTGTATTACTTAGCACGGTTCTTTCTGTCTGAAGTTTTGAGCGGGATTTAACTGTTTCAGGATAGGTTCTAATGCGTGGCTCCTATGAATAATGTGGTCAGGAACAGAATTACAGCTGTAAAGGCCCCGGGACCATAAAAATATAAAGACAGCAGCAAAAATAAATTCTAGGTTACGAAAATTAAGTTTTTCCTTGTTACTTATAATAACTAAAGATACAAATTAACTTTCGGTGACTTTAGAGAAACGAATGTCTGATTAAAATCTATGGATTCTATTTATGTTTTGTTTGTCCCTTACATCCGGCCCTGATGATAATGAATTTTCTAGAATCACGTTTGGCAGAAGATGAGTTTGGTCTTTGGGTTTCAAAGGTGTTAAAGAATTACGTGTAGCGTGTTTCTGAACATTTTAATGTTCTCTATCTCAGACTGTTCCACCGGTGGCAACCAGCTAGAGCAGATAAAAATATAAATTAAGTGAAGTTAGGGGATTGATGTTTACAGTGCTAATCAAACTGTACCAACAGGTGCTCAATGTCAAGTTATGTTACGTATTGCGCAAGCGCCGACCGAAGGCATAATCTGTTTGTACGGTATAGTGATGTTTTTATCACGTATTTAGTGTCTAGACACGGGGTTTGGACTGATAATTGGTTTTATTGAACGCTTAGAAATCGCAACTACCAATAATTACAGCGCTCTCGCCAATCCACGCACTCGACTTGTCACAAGAACACACACTAAGTCTTCTATGCATTCAATAATGGTTATCTGGTAATGGATCCCAATGTCGTCTTCTGTTCACTTCGTTACCGTCTGCCGACTCTCTTGCATCTAACCCATCGTTACAAATGTCTTTTCTTTCTCGAATGCCGATTTTCAAATGTCAGGATGCTCTTTCTATATAGTCTCGGGGCGAACCCGATAGAAAAGACAGTTTCCAACAGTTCCTTTATTGTGGAGTCACGTGTTCATTGATGTGGAAACGTGTTTATCAGCCGTTCATTAACAACGGCCGTCTCTTCTCTCTCCACTGTTCAGCTACCATGTCACATTATGCTGGACATTGTTGTCTGAGGTAAGATATATGCAACGGTTCTGGAATTGTTTGTTCTACCAGGCGGTGTACTGGTTAGTGTATTAGTGTAATATATAATAATAAGGTATATGTTTCATTTTTATATTTTATCCTTTATCTTAGTTTGTATATTCTATTTTTAATTGTAATACCAACTTGAAGCAAATTTTATCTGTTAGTATATAATACGACACAATGCATTGGTATGGATCCTTATCGGTAGTTCAATGACTGTACGTATTCCTATATACACGTATAACTGCCTGAAGATGGTCTTGTATGATTGAAACATGTAGCAGGAATAAAATGTCGAATTGTAAAACATTAAAAGCGATATATTTTGTTGTGTTGACGGTTAACCTAATTCCTA